CTGTAGTTTTGGTTCAACTTTGGGCATGATAGTGGGTAAAACAAAATACACAGCCTGGCTAACAAATGTAAAGATCTATCAGTGTACCAAATTTGAAAAAAATCCATAAAAGGTAAGTTTCCATACTTTTGGTGCAAAGAAAAAGGAATAATCTAAAAAAATGGAGATGTTTTATCTTGGGTACCTATTAATGGATTGCCTTGAAATTTGGTATATGAAGTAAGAGTCCAGTAGAGCACATCAACTGAAAATGTGATAGTTTGGATTACCACAATCCAAGCTACAGAAGGTGTAATTACTGATCTAGCAATCTACATATCACAAATGTACCTCATACTAATGTTACATTAAAACTTGAGTCAGTAACTAGTAAATATAATAGTCTTCAACATTAAGTCACAGAATAGCATGTGAATTGGTTGGTAGTGCAAGAGCTTAGAGATGATAGTACTAAGTTTCTGAAAAGATTCTCCTTGATAGATTTGAATATTGACTCTACCCTGCAACAATTTTTATTATTATAATATGATGAATTTACAATGTATATAACAGAGAATATCTTTGTACAATTTATATAATATTCTTTTAGAAATTGTGTGAAGAAAATAATACTGTTACTAAGGTAGCAATGAGACTATGAATGCTAAGACAGGATTTTTTATTCTCAACATTTCGACTAAATATCAGTCTGAAGAAGATTTATAGTCGAAATGTTGAGAATAAAAGATCCTGTCTTAGCATTCATAGTCTCATTTCTACTTTAATATCTATTTATCAACGTGAATAATACATAAAATATACTGTGTTAAATAACTTTCCTGTAATTGTGTAAAATTATTCTATCTCGTGTAATTGGCTGTCTAACTGTGTGTTGTACTATCTGACATAATACTGTCAGTCACTAGATGTGTACAAAGGTTTGTACAAACTACTGCCTTTAAATAAATGTATAAAAAAAGTACTGTCTCACACAGTACTGTTATTCAATAAATGTGTAAAGAGTTACTGCCTGACATAACACTGCCTTTCTATAAATGTGTAAAGAGTTACTGTCTGACATAACACTGCCTTTCTATAAATGTGTAAAGAGTTACTGTCTGACATAACACTGCCTTTCTATAAATGTGTAAAGAGTTACTGTCTGACATAACACTGCCTTTCTATAAATGTGTAAAGAGTTACTGTCTCGCATAACACTGCCTTTAAATAAATGTATAAAAAAGTACTGTCTCGCATAACTGCCTGTCAGTAGATGTGTAAAGAGTTACTGGCTGACATAACACTGCCTTTCTATAAGTGTGTAAAGAGTTACTGTCTCGCATAACACTGCCTTTAAATAAATGTATAAAAAAAGTACTGTCTCACATAACTGCCTTTCTATAAGTGTGTAAAGAGTTACTGTCTCACATAACACTGCCTTTCTATAAGTGTGTAAAGAGTTACTGTCGCACATAACACTGCCTTTTTATAAGTGTGTAAAGAGTTAGTCTCACATACTGCCTGTCACTAGATGTGTAAAAGAGTTACTGTTTCACATAGTACTGCCTATCACTAAATGTGTTACCTTACATAATACTAGTATAATTACGTTGTATTTGACTTCATACAGTACTTGAATGTTAAATTTGTTCTTATAGTTTGGTTTTGTAGTGTTTTAATTGCATATTGCATTTATGTTGTATTTACAATATCAACTCTGCACATTATTGTCAGAAAAGAACATTTTAGAACAATTCCTGATAGTTGTATGATTAACTACTTAGTATTTGTTTTACATAATTGTGTACTTAGTATCCAAATGTCATCACTAGGGGAATACTGTGTTATTGTTTTAATAGAAAGATTACTTATTTGATGTTAATTTTACTAGGAGGCAGGTGAGCTAAGCATTTAAGGCAGATAAAAATATAGCTGAACCAAACAATAGAAGGAAAAATACATAAGCAATAAACAAAATTAAAGCTAAAAATGAAATATAAATTTCTACCTCGCAATACTTGGTAGTTGATTTTTGAGAGTATGAGTTAATGCATTGACAACGTTGTTAGGTTGATTTGTTTTAAACTATGTTTGTTTGGTTTCTGAGGGGATTAATTAATAGGTTAACACATTTCTTAGATAACTTTGAGAATATATACTAAAAGTCAGCACATTTGTTAGTTTGATTTCAGATGATGAGCTAATGGACTAACAAGTTTGTTAGATTGATTTCAGATGATGGGCTAATGGGTAAGTAAGTTTATTAGGTTCAGCAAGTTTGTTAGATTGACTTCAGATGACGAGCTAATGGACTAACAAGTTTGTTAGATTAACTTCAGATGACGAGCTAATGGACTAACAAGTTTGTTAGGTTCAGCAAGTTTGTTAGATTGATTTCAGATGATGAGCTAATGGACTAACAAGTTTGTTAGATTGATTTCAGATGAAGAGTTAATGGGTTAGTAAGTTTGTTAGGTTTGGCACATTTGTTAGATTGATTTCAGATGATGA